TGCGACCATCGTCGACAAAAACCCGCGCGTGTGGTCATCGCAAGCTAACCACAAATCAAGGGAGTCATGCACGAGACAAGCATGCCGCACGGACGGACATGGCTGCTTGGCCATCAAACAATGGAACGCGGAATGATGGACGTGTTCGGTTATTTCACTGGAAGTCGGTCTCTTGGTCAGCCGGCTACCCGCAAGACCAGCAACGAAGTGCAAGTTTGGTGAGCGTCAGCAAGCCGAAAGTCGCCACCAGAACTTGCTGCCGCTGCGGACGCTCTTCGAAAAGTACAGCTGCGTTCATTTTAGCACCTAAATCGTTTTCGATTAACAAAATTAACAGGGTGATGATTCGGTAAAGAAGGATCGCATACGAATATACGTCTACTTGATAGAGGTATTCCTCTTTATTTTGCTGATTCCATCACTTCCTGTTTATGGTTACCAGGCGATCCAGCGCTTGAAATTAAACCAGTCGAAGTCGCGAAATTCGCCGTGCCGAAATCATTGTGCTTGAAGTGAATATCAGCGTGATCCTTCAAAGACCAAACAAGGACATTTTCCAGTTTTAGTCCCTATATACGCATGCCATGTAGGAATCTCACCGCGTCTGCAACTTGATATAATAACCAAAGAGATCCATCCTGAATATGTTATTTATTAAAGATTGGTGGAGGTTGTCAAGAGAAAGAATCTTTTCACATTTGGTCTCCCAATGAGTTTTTGACGTGCTTTCTACTTGAAAAAGTGACCCTTAACCCACAAGGGTGACCAGAGGCACGTTTCTCGAAAGTCCCGGTAACTTAACTGGCCCGAAGTTATGTTTTCAAATCAAAATTTAAAGGATAGGAAAGCAGTTTCTGGCAACCAAACCAGTCCTTTTTGTTCCTTTAGCTGACAGTCTTATTGTATCGTTTTCAAAACTTTTCAAATCCCCGTCTTGAATGAAAACAGAACAGCTTTACGTGCTCTTTAAGTTACCGGAACTTTCGAGAAATGGGCCCAGCATCTAATTTTCCTCAGAGAAAATGTTAAGGTTAAGAGAACATAGGAAATGATTGTCAACTAAGTAGGCTCTTGATTGTTTAAGAAATTCTCACTGTGAGTACCACAGTTAATGTATACTGAGAGAACAGTATGAATTGATGTTTATGTGTGAGGGGCTAATATGCCTTCTGACGGCCTATAAAAACATTTGCGCTAGTTTACAACTGAAAATAAAACAATTTTACGTGAGAACATTGGTTTCAAGGTGATTGCCATGTGAGATGGACTTTCTCAGTGTCAAATTCGTGAACACAAAATGGCAGAGTTAACCATGCCAGCTGTTTCCGAGTTTGCTTTAGCTTGCAAGCTAAGCATGCTCTCATAGCCACCTCAACACATGTAAAAAAAGCCCCAGATTTCAAGCCATCAGTAGGAGCAATATTTGGTTCTGAAATATCTCTGCAGAGCATGTTTAGTCAATCATGATCTTTCCGTGCTCATATAAGCCTCTGGATGCGATCTGACAAGATCTCATTGCTACATCTACAGCTTTCAGGATCATAGAGAGGTTCCACAAGAAGAACTCCCATTACCGGCAAAATGGCACTGTTTTCCGAACTCTCTGTTACAGGAATTCGATTCAGATACAATGAATATATGAAGCTCATATATTTTTGAACTGCGGTGTTAGATACTTATAATGCACGATCCTCGCAGTAGATAGCGCTATTTAAGCAATAGCGAAAATCAGACCTGAAAAAAATCAGGCCTGTACGGGACTCGAACCACTGACCTCTGCGATACTAGTGCAGCGCTCTACCAATTGAGCTAACAAGCCAACTGGGAGCAGGCCGTTAAGTTGATTCGTAATAAACCCGTGAAAGTGATAAATGAGATACAATGAA